CTGACATGCAAATCTTACATTATTAGTTATAAGTGACATGTATGCCAGTGGAACAAGACATTTTACTCATATATTATAAAAATATTTTTATTTGTTCCACTGAGACTATAGCTACAATTGAAAAAATCTGCCAATGAAACTATAATTCTTCAGGCAATATTAAGGAATTATTGACTGAAAAGTTGAAGTTAATTTTGTCATATTTCAATTGCAGTAAGATATTTACACTAGAAACTAGGTAAAATACTTTGAAGGCTTTTGTGTTTAACCCTGATTTATTTTCCATCTTTCAGCTGAAGACGAGTCTGAACCAGAGGGCGATGAAGAGGAGGAGGAGGAGAGACCAGCTGAACACTTGAAGGAGCCGCGGGACTCGGGTTGCTTTGAGAGCTCAGAGAACCTGGAGAACGGCCGCGAGGAGCCGAAGACGGAGGAGGAAGAGTCAAACCGGCAAACAGAGAAAGAAGAAGGAGAAGAAGAAGAAGAAAAAGAAGAAGAAGAAGAGAAGTCAGAGGAGACGCAGGAGGCCGAGAACCTGGAGGCTGTCCAGGAACAGCTGCAGGAGCTGACGGTGGACGAAGGACAGTGACAGGTGATGGAAAACTCTCTCAAACATTCCCGTCTCATTTCTGAAGCTGTGATCAGCGTTTAAAGCCTCTCTTCATCAAAAGAGAGCAGATAGCGCCACTTCTCTGCTAGGACCCTGAACGAGCACGCTGTCCGTTACTGAAGGATGATTTTCCCACGATACCAATCATTTCACAGCTCGCTTACAAGCTGCACAAACTATTACCAGCTGCACAGATGGCGGATTTTTTAACCAACTTGTAAAATATGATGGTGTAATTTTACTTGAGGCATATTTTGTTGTATAATGTTTCAGCTAAAACATTCAAGGATTTCACTCTGTCCTTTATGTTTTCGGTTTTTTCCTTCATGAATGTAAACTATCTTCACATTTTTCATGTATCTAAACTGATATGTTTTTTGTGACTGTAAATAAATTAAATAAACTTTAATCAGTGGAGTGTAAATTACCTTGGTTAATCCCTGATTAAATTGGTTCTTAGTTCTGCGTTAATTCACAAGTATTTGGTTATTTTTTTTGTTTTCCACTAGTTTCTATGGAGACAGTAGCTGATAAATTATGACATCAGTTTCCTTTCCTGAAGCTCCTCCCCTTCCTAATGCAGTGCATTCTGGGAGTAATATTTACAATAGTACCATCTTCAGCAACATTTTGATGAGCCAACTAACAGCAGAGTAAAGTTGGTGTCAAACAGATTTCATTTTAAAGATATTAATCAATGTTTCTAGAGGTCAAAGGTCCACTATCCAGTCCATATTCACAAAATTAAAAGAAATATTATGTTTGTGCTGTTTTGTGCTGCTAAAACTGTAGAAGCAGTCGACTGACACCAACTTGTTAATCTTTGATGACCTCTGGAAACATTTATAAATATCTTTAAAATTATAGCGGCACAAAATTTGTTGCTGCTCAAACGTAACTTAAACATCAATTTTGTTTAATTCTGAGGCCACTTCAACAGCAGGCCACTAACGTCTGCATACAAAACAATATTCAAATTGTGAAAAAAAGTATTTAAAATAGTCAGTTTTTAGTAAGACAACATTGTTTATTTAATGGACACACAGATCAAGTAAAAAGAAGTGAAGCAATTTGAATGAAATACAGAGAATCACAGTGTTGATAACTAAGAAAACATAAATAATGATTCCTTCAAAGTATCTGTGTATATAATGTGGTGTAACTGACTGATCAGAGCATTCAGATCTGATCTTCATTTCAACACAGGATTTATAAATACAAGAGCTAAAACTGGTCTTCAAAACTAAAAAACATAAAAATCCATCTGTCCCTTTAAGATGTGCTTCAAACATCCCTTCTCCCAAATGTCCACTAACTACATTCCTGCTTCTCAATAATAACACCAAGCCATCTTAAAATACCTTCACAGTAAAGGAGTTCAGCTTTAGGTTTAGCACTTTTTTACTGGCGATTGAACATTTAAAATACAGCTGTATCATGGCAACATTTACACAAGCTGCTTTGGAAATGTAAACTTCTGCAAACTTTCATAGGTTATCATGATATTATGGATATGCTTGATTTCAAAGACTTTCAGCTTACGCTTCAGTCTGAACCTTTATTAACAAGTGCCTTATTTAAGATTTACCAAAATCCCTCTCAACTCTTAAATAAATCTTGTTGGGCAGAAATGTCTGATATAAAACTTGAAGTCTACACAAGAAAGATTCACAAACACAAACTCTTGTCTTGCATACAACACAGTCACTACTACAGACTTGCTATCAGCTAACACCTTCTAAATACTAACGTGAAAAGATCTTCCCGCTCTTTTCTCTGCGATTACATCCCGTCAAAACTGTCTGATGTGTCAGGTGCTTCTTCTGCAGGAGCAAATATCAAGAGACAGAGTTTAATGTAGAGGCAGGGAAGAAGAAGAGGAAGAAGAGAGAAAATGCAAAGGAAGGAAGATCCACCTCCGCCATAATTCACAGAAGTTGCTGCACAATAAACCCTAGCCACACTTCGTTATCCATTACTTTAATGTGTTTCATCGCAGCTCTACCTAACAATATACAATACATAACGGTTTTATTTTTCATTTTGCATCACAAACTCCAGTTTCTTATCTTATCAGATGTTTTTGTGGCCAAGTCAAAGGTAGAATACTGTATCTCTAAAAGGAGTTGTCAGTTAACATATATTAAGATATATTGTTGCAGTTTCCCATTTATAAAAGAAGAAAATTTTGATATTTTATTTTGGCTGTAAAATTAATCATCAAATCGGATTTTAGCATCTGGTTAGCTTAGCTTAGCTGAAAATGTGATTTGTTATTATTATTAAAGGCTAAAAATACAAATTTACGTACAAGCCAAATGTTAAGAATTTTTTTGATTTAGAGAAACAAAATATATATTTCTGTGGGATTACAAACCGTTTGTCTAAGCTGGGGCTTGTTTTTATGCTAAATTTAGTTAATCTAAAGTTAAATTAGTCAGTCCCAGTAAATTTTAATCATACATAATTGGATTTAATCCGCTGAAAAACTTGCAGCCGTATAGTTGTCTTTTATTCCCCAAAAATACCAATTATTTTTTAATTATCTAAACCATTAGATTGAGCTAATTTAAAATAGTCACAAATTAATCTCCAGTTTACATCTTGAAAAATTTTAGTTTTCTTTCATTATTGTTACTTTTTTTTTACCAGTTTTGTTAAGACGGAATTAATTATAGGATGTAATTGAATTTTAATTTATTGTTGCTCTGAATGTTGAATTCAGGAATTAGTCCTGCTAGACTGAACAAATTCAAATGCAGCAGCTAGTTAGCATAAATTTAACTTAGCAGAAAAGCTTGATTTATTTTGAGAAGCAAAAAGGAAAAGACATTTTCCTTTTACTAAGCAGGCACATTTAATATTGGCTTATATTCACAAAAAATAAAGCTAAACTAAGCTATGCTAAGCTAAGCTATGCTAAGCTGCACCAAGTTTCTTAGTTGCTTCCATCAACTAAAAAATTCAATTTAAATTGAGATAATTGTTTTTTTTCATGATCAATTTCATTTTATGAAATTGTAATTTCTCAGTTGAAACAGACAAAATCAGTTCTTATGGATTAAAAAAAAATCTTTTTAAAAACTTTATGGGTCAAATTGTGTTTTTTCAGTTTGCTTTTCAAAACAAATTAAAGTTTTAATTGTACCTTTTCTATTTTGTTCCAAGTTAAATGAAGAAATCAATTTAGATCAATTCAGCATTCACAGCTAGTTAGCTTAGCTTAAACAGAAGAAGCTTAGCTTCTTCTGTTTAAAATAAGTAGAAATCATAAAATACTTGAAGATTTCCAGAAATACAAATTACACTCTTTGTCTTGTAGCAGTTTTACTAAGCAATTTGTCACACAAATGTAAACTGAGCTAGGCTAAGATAAGCTACGCTAACAAACTAGCAAGTCCCACCATGATTTCTTCAGTGGCTGCAGCAAGATGTTTTCTTCTATAAGTCAGATTCCCGTTTGTAGCTGATTTTTGATTCAACACTGTTAGAGGATCGTCCCTGTTGCTCGAGTTGCAGCTGCAGTGATAAGGCACTGTTAATGCAAGTGTCGACACTCATTAGGCCTTTTCTTTCCTCAGACTCAGGAATCTCACTGTAATCTCACAAGCCTCAACATCACACTACATCTTTAGTTATAAAAAAAAACACACAAAAAGAAACCACAGCAGTTGAGATTGATTTAAAAAAAAGATGCACACACGCGTGAACAGCACTGAATGCAGCAGGATCAGAATACAAGGTCACCTGGAGGGAGTCTGACCTGCGAACGATTCCTCCTGCCTGGGCATCACATGTTAAACCCAACGCTTATACCCATGTTCTCACAAAGCTGCTTTTCCAGCCTCACAATGGTTTGCATAGGGTATGTAATTTATGTACAGCATAGATGACGCACTGCAAAAACAATACATTTTACCACTTACTTATGGTCTAGGTTTTAGTGCAAATATTTTACTTCACTTCAAATAAGACAAAACTAACATACAGGCAGAGCTGGGTAGTAACTACTTTTACTCAAATGTACTTTTAGGAGTATTTTTACTAACGTTCACTTTTTCCTTTTACTTGAGTGATTTTGTTATGAAGTATTTCTACTCTTACTTGAGTGAAATTTCAGTTTTCTCTGCCCACTGAATGAAAAATGAACATGTTTTAACCAAACGTTCACTAGACAGAGACACACACCTGCAGTTTTTGTTAAAATTTCAGAAGTTTTTTATTGAAAGAGACCAATTTTGGAAAAAAAATAATTAGCCTAATTTTAGTATTTTTTTTTTTGTTATTAATATGAATTATTGTCATTTTTGTCCTTAACACCAAAATGTTCACTTAACTTTATATTTTGCTCCGTCTGATGATGCAACTTTAAATAATAAATAATTGATAATTGGATTATTAGGTAAAAATAAGTATTTTTTGAGAATCATATTTGAGTATGATTCTTGTGTCCTCTGCCCACTTCTGATTACAAGTAACTTTTCATCAACAGTCAATCATCTCTTAATATGAATCAAAACGTCACAGTTTCTCTGGCAGATTATTGCACTTACAACAAGACATTTTCCCTTGTTATAAGTGAAATAATCTGGACTTTTTCCAGCAATATTCAGGATTTACTCAAAACAAGCTCTTATAACTTGCTGAAAATATTCCTGTAAGTTAGTTTAGTTTTATTCCTGTGGCTCAAAATATCTGCTCTAGAAAATGTTAAATACTTGGTAGGATTGAGAGTTTCTGCAGTGTTTTTGATTCGACCGATGTGCAGGAACCAGACTCTTCGTCTCTGATGCTTGCTATAACTGAACTGGCCTCTGGAGATAAATGTTTACAGTTTCAAATGAAGAACAAGTAGACTGACAATCAGCGTTGGATCTCTGAGCAGCGTCTCTCCTGAGAGTCTTTTCCATGCAGGGATCAGGAGATGGGAAGCTGCTGATTTTCCTTCTCTTCTGGTCGTCAAACGTCTCTGCAGGAAAAGCGCAGGCGCTCCAATCCGTTAAAGGTCAAAGGTTAACTGAATCCCCCTCACATGATCAGGTGTCGATTATTATTGTTCTTCAGTTCACAGATTGCTGGTCCGTCCAGCTACTGGTTCTTGGCGATGGACGTCTCTGCGTCGGTCTCTGGAGAAGCCAGCGGCGGCAGCTTTGCGGCTGGCGGCGGGTCGTCTTCAGGGGCGGAGCTTTGCTCTGCTGTGATGCTCGGCTTGACATCGTCAGGCGTGTGCTCGTTGGGGATGAGAGGAGCTGTGGTTTTCTGTGAAAAAGATGCAGAGAGAGAGGTTAAAAAGAGAGAAAACAGAAAACAAGCAGGTCCTGTCATGGTAACACATCTTACTGGGTGATAAATCGTTCCGGAATTTATTGCGATAAACGATAACATTATTGTTTCTTTTCAACTAAGCAAGATCATACTCCTAAAGATCAATAAACTTTAAGTTCTGATGAACATTTAACACTGGAAGACATTTTAAATCTCCAAAATAAAGAAAACAATAGAAATAACAAATAAAATGAATTATTAAATCTCTGTAAACAAAACTGTCCTTCAAAATAAAGGTGTAGTTGAGACCAAAGCTCCAGATTAAAAACTATTATCATCTAGTTTTGAAGGGGAAAAAAAGACAAAAACAATAAATAATGCAAACGGAAATTATTGATTTTGCTTCACGTTCTCATGTGATTAATTGATTTATTGGTTACTGTGACGTGTTAGCCACACTTTTCAGATTTTAATCAGTCAAAAATCTTTCTCTTACAAAAAAATCATAATAAAGTTTATAGTTTACACATGAAAAAATGGCAAAACATACAAGGAGTATGGGAACATTTCAGAGCACATAAAATCAAAACCACACAGTAAAAAGAGCAAAAATTTTAAATAATTCTTTTTAATTTAGATAAAAAAATTTTAATCAAAATAATAACAAATCAAACATCTGAATGTTATACAAAAAATACTGGATGAATCAGGTTTGTTACTTAGTTGTTACCAATGTTATCTCCATGTATTTAATAAATCTTTAAAAAATATATGAATCTTAAGATTTCGCATCCTAAAAATAAGCAAAAAGCAGACAAATATCCTGAAATGATAAATTCTCTTTTTACATATCTTGCTTGATTTGTTTGTTGATTTTTATTTCTTTACAAAATTTGAATCAGGAGAAACTAAAACTGCAACTTGAAGATTTTTTTTTAAATTTCATTTGAATGCAAAATGTTGATGTTCTTGTGCAGTTTTGGTTCAATTCCTGCTCTGAGTGTATTGTTCTTTTAGGAATTGTTTTTTGAGTCAGTTTACTCCATTCATCAATGACTAAATCAGCTGACGATCGTTTCAATAATTGATTAATCTGATTAACTGCTTGCTGTTTCGTTGCACCTTGCAGCAGAGGACTGGCTGTGTGTGGATTAATGCGCTCACCGTTGTTTGTGCCACTGGGTTGTCGAAGGAACAGGGACCTTCACTGTTTGCAGCAGCGGGCGAATCCTCCTGCATCAGCCCTCGTCTGTCCAAGACGCTGGAGGGCAGAAAACGGGTCAGAAACTGAGTGCGGCTCATTACTGATCCGAACAGGGAATGCATGGAGCGACCAGACCAGAAAATGCTTTACATGTAGAGAAGAAATGAGGGAAATTGAGGAAAGCAGAGGTATTTACCTGGGGTAGGTCGGTCCACACAGAACCTCGCAGCAGTTTTTGATGATGTTCTTGTGGCTGTAAGGATTCTGGCCTCTGTTCTTCCCAGACCAGGAGCCTTTAATCTAAAACAAATAAAATGCACAGCAACACCAATCAGAGCAGCAGCAAACACCAAAACACGCCCTGCAAAGTCAACCAGTTCACTCCCACAGTCCCTCCTTTAGCTTATACCTTATTCAAAAGCATGCTTCCGTTTTTAGACGATATTCCCACCGGCTTTGGTTTGACCTACTAAAATTCATCCTGCTGGATTAAACTATTCCTGCTTTAACAGTGACTCTGTCACAAGGAGAGCGTCAAAAGATTAAAAACTCTTCGTTAATTCATGAACGAGCTTCATGAGTCGGATTAATGACAGAAATACCTCCAAATTGTCACGGCTGGATCATGCAGATAATTGGTTGAAACATGTTCATTCTTCATTCAGTCATTAGAAAATCCAGAATTTTTACGCAAGTAAGAGCAGAAATACTTCATAATAAATTATTCAAGTAAAAGTAGAGATTACAGCGTAATAAAAGAATTAGTTACTACTAACTCTGTGCACTCAGTGATAAAAAGATGTAGATAAACCAGATTAAAATTCAGATAAGTGCATCTGTAACATGACTCCTACAGCTCAGCATGAACTAAACGACCAGCCTGCAGGGCAGAGAAGACAGAAAAATGCTTCTGGTGGTAAACATGTAGGTCAGCAGGCACCGTGTGTGTGTGTGTATGTGTGTGAGATCTATGGGAAACCAGAGCGGCTGCACCACTCAAGGTGCCGCCATCACGCCGCTGTACTTCTGGCTGCTCTCCCAGACCCTGCAGGTATCGATGCATCTATTATTAGGCTGATCACAAACGCTGAAGCGACCGGGCTGACAGCCATCGCTTCATCTCCCGCAGCGGGGAAAAAATAAATAAATAAATTTTAAAAAAATCACAGGTTGCAATGCTTCATTACTGATGAAATGAATGGAAAAAATGAGGCCAGTCATCCCACTGGAAAGGAGCAAGGAGACGATAAATTAATCATTATAACAAAGTAGAAGAGCTCAAACCACTAACATCATCGTTCCTGCTTCGTTTTTGAAGTTCTGCAGGAAAACACAGAATATCTGATCCACATGCATCACCTCTGACTCTGTAATTAATGACCAAACACAATAAAAACGATCAGTTGTTCTATTCTTATCTGGTTTGGGCCTCAGAAGCTTTTCTAAAAGTAGCCCAGAGGTTCAGTCTGTTTTGCCCTCAGATGAGACAACGGTTTCAAGAATAGAAGACATTTATATGTATTTTTAGATGATTAGATAACATCGACACAAACAGCCGTTTCAGGTTCCAGCTCACATAAACACGTGAAAACGCTCAGAAGCTGAAACAAAATCCAGAAACAAAATCCAGAAACAACCATTGAAATAATGCAGACAATGTAGGTGTTTTTACTTTAAACGAGACACTTTACCTACATATTCACACATTTTTAAACTTCTATTTGTGTCTCTGCTGCTTCTAAAAACAGCCTAAGAGATGAAAAAAGCCATTTCTTGGCAATAAACTGGTATTTTTTAGTGTTTGGAAATGAGCCGTTTTTAAAACCTCGAACTTTCAGTCACAGGCGCTGCACCGTTACCTAGCAACCACAGTCAGTCCAGTGCAGTTACCTAGCAACGAAAGCAGAGGTCCAACACTTTTGGTTAGCTGGTCAACAGCCTTCTTCTGAATGTGTTGGGTTGGAATAAAGCAGCTTTTGGGCAGGTTGTTAAAATTTGAGCTGCTTTTCACAACATTTTTAGAAAGTTTTCTGAGGAAAATTCTCATTAGTTGCTGTCGCTGTGCGGCAGAAAAGCACAAAACGTTTACTAAACTGCTTATCTTAATAGCTCATTTATTTTGAAATGTCTAGACTCTGTTGAATTCGATCATCAGTGAGTAGCCGTTGGTTAATCAAGTGTTACTGTTGTAAAACAGAACTTCATGTGTGATATTATTTAAAGGCATAGTGTATCATAAAAAGCACATGTCTCACTGTGTTCAAAGAGTCCCAACTGGACCTGGTGCTGGTCAGAATATAGTAAGGGACAACCAAAAACATTGCCTATGCAGCGGCGTATATGATCATTAACAGATATATGTGACTATATCTGGCTTTTTAACATGAGTTTCATTATAGGCTGAGATTTGAGCTGATTTTATTTTTATGTTTTGGGTTTTATGTTGTGTTTGGGCTGGAAACCTTTAGTCAGGTCTGACAACCATGCAGCTGTATGCGCTGTACAATGGCTGCTGGAAAAGACAAGAGCTTTGTTGTTGACTTACTATTCAAATACCACTTGCTGCGTTGTTGCTGTTTGTACAGGAGGCTCTGCTGATGCTTTTCAAAGAAGTACGGTTGTATAATTGTGCATCTGTTCGTAGCCATTTTGGCGCAAGAATGATTTTGTGCAAAAAATGTAATGAGCATGTTTAGCATATCCCATAGATCCATCCTAACATGTTCAAGGAAGCATCATATGTCACCTTTAAATTATTATTTTATCTGGAGCTCCTTCTATCACAAGGGAAAAATCGTATTTTTTTTTACAACAGAATCGACTTTAGTTTACAACACAAAGGTCTTGTTAAACAAGCTACAGTTTACGAGGGGTGAACGAGGTGCTGCAGTTGTCACCGCAACGGTATCAGCTCTTCAGTGGTGCAGAGTTCACACCTCAACAATGCCGCTAGGATTTCTCATCACTGTCATCACAGATAATCATCTACACTGTCTGAGAGATTTCAGAATGACCAAATGTTAAACATGTTTTAACGTTGAATTATTGTTTCACATGTGAATTAAACATTTAAAAGTGCAGTTTGAGAAGAAATAAGACAGAAAGAAGCATGAGAAAAACAAAAGAAACAGAAAAAAAGAAGGAGAAAGACAGAGAAAGAAAAAAAGAAAGAGAAAAGAAAGGAACAGAAAAAAGAAAAAGAAAACTGTGAAAAAGTGTGAAAAAGGAAAGAGAGAAAAAAGACAAAAAGGGAAAAGAAGGAAAGAAAACAAGAAAGAAGGTAACAAAAGAAAGAAAGAACAAAGAAAAAGATCATAAAAGAAAAATTGGAATAAACAAAGAAAGAAAAATCAAAAATAATGAGGAAGGAACAGAAAAAAATAAGGAATAATAAAGAATGAGAAGAAGAGAGAAAAAGATAAAAAGAGAAAAGAGACAGAAAAAAGGAAGCAAGGCAGTGAAAGACAAGGATCCTAAACCACTTACGTCCTCGTTGGTGGTCTGGTTCAGAGAGATGAGGTACGTGTGGAAACCAGTCAGTCCCACCATCGACCACAGGGTGAAGAAGCACACCAGCACTTCCAGTACAGTGAGTTCCAGTTAAGAAAACCACAGCAGGTCTGAGTCATGGCCGCTGGTTAAACGGCGAACAGACGGCAATGTTGAAACAGCTGGAAGTTATATAAGGTGATTAAAGACGCTCGACGGAAAAACATGGAGCCTACAGAGAGATTTATGTTTAATCACAGGTTACACATACGCTTTATTTTCTTTATCCTTTAATTTTATTTTGCTGTGACTTTTGCTTGTCCAATTCAGTTGTTTATAATTAGTTTTTAGAGTGAGTTTGCTAGTTTTCATTAGCTAAATATCGTTTAGTTTTTAGTTGTTATAATAGTAGTTTTAGTTTTTTTCATATAGGTTCATTTTTAGGTGCACAATTCAAAACTATTTGATTGTGATTATGTTTACACTGATTGGATAATGAGAACTGAAAGAAGTCATATTTTCAAAAACTATATTTACCAACTGGTGTTTTGGTAAATACACCAGTTGCAAAGGTTTTATACAAACCTTTGCTGTCAGGAGGATTATGGCGTACCATAATTTACCGACAGCTGGCGTTGTATGGTGAAAAGAACAAAAAAACATAAATTTCACATCAGTTTGAAAGGCTAATAAATAGATATTAAGAACAAAAACAAAGGTTATTATATTTAGAATTTCAACATGTTTCAGTTACTTTTTATAAATTAACAGTATTGTTCCAGTTAGTTGTAGTTTTTCCTCCATTGCTTACTGTTTTTGTTTATTTCAGTTAATGAAAATGTTTTCTCAGTTTCAGATTTTGTTATTTTGTTGGTTTTAGTTAACCAGTAACATTTGGTCAAATCTTTTTTCCATCTTGGAGTAGAGAGGATATTCTCTCTTGTCAGGAACCAAATGGGACCAAACATTTATTCACTCCTCGCTCTTCATTTACAAGCCAAAAAAAGAAACTGTTTGGGACAGATTCCTGAAAAGAGGAAGCTGCTACTTTGAGAACAGGACAAAGAGACCCTAAAATAAGCAGGATGTATAAATAAAATTTATACATCCTCTGATGTATAAATAACATCTTAACTCCGTTATTAATATCAAGCCCTAAACTGGAGTCAAAGGTCAAACTGTCCGTAATGATGTCACTGAGCTATCCTGTTGGTGCTTCATAAAATTATGTATCCCAGTAATTTTTCTACCAAAACTGAACAACAGAGGTTTATAATATTTAGTAACTTCTTCATCAACTTCACTGAAATTCAGTGTTTTGTTTAAAATAATCATATATAGAGATGCACCGGTTGGGTTTTAATTTATTTTAGAGCTTTTTAATTGCAGCTCTAGCATCACTGAAACAAAAAAAAAACAATAAATCAATCCCACAATAAACCTTTAGTTAACAATATAACTTGTTACTGATAAAGTAACTAACGGCAGCTTCATTTCCAATAAAAATTTGCGTAACATGAGAATATTTTGCTAATGTCAAAGAAACAGAATTGCACAATTTCTAATAAGTAAGAAATGTAATTAAAATGACAAGTGAACAAGTTTGTTTATCCAATATATGAGTAAAAAACAAGGAGCGGCATCATCCTCCTGCCATTTCCTGTGGTAATTTATTGTGGTTTTTGCCAGTAGTATTTGTTGTTAACATAAATTGTGTGAAGTGAAGAAAGTGTTTCAGTTGCAGTTTAGCAAAACATACTAATTTTGATAAAACCAAAACCAAATCATCCTAGCGCAAAAACCTTGCATTGAAAAAATGTATTTCTAAATTAGCGTGTGAAGGAAACAAAGGACGGACAAACAGAGGAACAAACGAAGGAAAACAGTTATTGATTTCCTTAAAACAAGGCGCGCACACACAAACACACAAAATGTATTCATATTTAAAAGGATATGTTCCAGGTGTTTCCTTCAAGGTGCTCAGAAAGCCTTGATCCACAGAGCCTGAGCACAAAGACAGACAGACAGACAGGTGAGACAGGGAGGTAAATGTGCTGAAAAGTACAACTCATACATACAGGATGGTTTTACCAGGGACTTATTAAACAAAATCCAGATCTTTAACATTTTACTATATCAATTTGGATTTCTACTGCTTCTAAAAATACTCAAAGCACTTAAAAAAACTACCATTTGGGCGTCTGGAAGATGAGTCATTTCAAAAACCTCCAGGTTATTAAGTCACAATCAACAGTTACTTAGCAACCAGCAGAGCTCCAGCACATTTGGTCAGCTGGTTGTACCGCTGTATGTGATGTACAATGCTGCTGGAATAGACAAAACAACTTACCATCCAGAAACCACTTTCTGCATTCTTGTTGGTTGTGCAGGAGGCCCTACTTCTGCTTTTCAAACATGTACATGTGTATTTTTATGATGTAAATAAGTTTGGACTGCCTTGTTGTTGAAATGTGCTGAATGAATACACTTGACTAACTGATGTGTTTGCAGCCATTTTCATGGGTGAGTCTACCATTAAGTTTGGGGGCGTGGCCAGTAAAAGCTTATTTGGATTTAAAGTGACAGGACGGCCTAAAAAAGCTCTTTCTGAACAGACTGGAAATCTCATTTTCTAAGAATGATTTTGTGTAAAACATTTACTAAAAAATGTTTGTATTGCCACGTTTTCCTTTAAAATAAGAAGGTCAACAGTTCAACAAAAGCAGCACAATCACATCAGGTTGCTTCTCATGCAACATGAACTATCAGCTGCTGTTAAGCTCCTGTTGCATCACGTCCTTCCAGATCCGTCACATTCCTGCCACCATACTCACGCATGACGACGTGGACGATGTTGAAGGCAAAGATGTAGATGGTGAGCAGGGACAGCGTCAGGGTGAACAGGTAGAAGTACCTGTAGTTCCTCTTGCCCACGCAGTTGCCCACCCACGGACAGTGGTGATCAAAACGGTCTGAAAAACAACAACATTCTCTGTTAATATGTGAAAACACCAAACTGAGGTGTTGTTATAAAAAATGAACGTGTGAAAAATGACACCAGGTTTCAGTGAATATGGAGTCTAAAAATAGTTTTCTTCCTCCTCCATGTTTGGAGCAAAGCCAGAAGAAAGCAGGGCAGGTCGAAATGAACAACAGGGAAAAAATGTTGTCAGTAGAAAGGAGGACAAAGATCAAAGGAAGGTGTTAAAAAGGTAGAAAGGGGACAAAATAGGAGGCAAAAAAATGAAACAAGGAGTTAGAAAATAAGGACACAAGGCAAGAATGAGACAATGAAGGAATAAAGGGAAGTTTTTTTATTTTATTTAATCAGATTTCTATTGATAACGTCTGACTGTTGCTGAGCCTCGACGGCTAACGATGGTAAAAATAAACCTGGATCTCATCCTTCCTTCAGCATGCTGAAGGAAGCAGCAGCATCTCAGGAACGTTTTACGTTTTTAATATCACTTTAACATCGATCTACTCAAAGCCCCGTCCACCTTGAAAAGAAAAACCATCTTCCAGTTCACCTAGCAACAGCAGCCACTTACAGAGCAGCTAACAGGGTTTCTGATTGATGCAGCGTCTATCTGAGGTACACAGAGCAGCAGGACAGTAATCGTTCACACTTCAGGAAAGTTCATTTTAAAGAAAGCTGCACACGCCGCATTTCCTTTACAATCAAACCGAGCTGTGAAAATTTAACTGCAAGATTTATGCGGTTTCAAACTCTCAGTGGTGGATCACAAAAACAGGATTTGCTCCTTTTTGGTTTGGTCAAACAATAAAGGTGACCTTGAACAAGTTTGGCTGAACAGGTTATGAGAAATCTATGGGCTAAACAAAACATGTTCATTCATTTTCTTTTTGCATAAACTTATTTTTCGATAATGAGATTTTAATCTGGTCAGATTGTGGTCAGTTCTGCCTATTTGAGCTGTTTAATGGCCTCTGTCACTTTATAACCAGTTAAGATAATGCTGGCCCCGCCCCCATCTCTACGTTTCCATTCGTTGGTGAAAATGTATAAGAGCCTCCTGCACGACCAACAAGAATGCATTAAGTTGTTTCTGAATGGTAATCCAACAATGAAATACTTATCTTTTCCAGCAGCCATTGTACAGCACATACAACTGTAAAACCAGCTGACCAGACGTGTTGATGCTCAGTTTAGGTAACAGAGCTGGGCTTTATTAATGGCATTCATTAAAGGTTTGGTGTTTTTCTGACAACTATTGTGAAAGAATTTTCCTCTGAATATTTTCTAAGAATTCGCCAAATGTTGTAAAATGCAACCCAAATTTTAAAAACCAGCCCAAAGCTTTTTTATTTTCAGATTGCAAAAAACTTGATTATTTGACCACAACCAGACTTGTATTTTTTGTGGCAATATGTGCTTTTGAATAACAATGTTGCTCAGGACATCTGTTTCACAACACTATTACATAGTGACACTTGATTAACCAACGATTGTTAATCATTGATGATGTTACCTTCAACCAATTATACGCATTTTCATATAATAAGAACCGATAAGATGAGCTTTTATGCCACACAAAGACAACAATTGCAAAAAAAATTTCCTCTGAATACTTTCTAAGAATTTGACAAATATAAAAAGCAGACCAAAATTTAGCAACTTTGCTCAAAGCTGTTGTTTCCAGTCCAACAGACCAAACCAGCTGACCAAATGTGCTAGAGTTGGCTTGGCTTGGGTGGGATTGCTATGTAACGGCACACTGAATGTGATTTATCTGAAGGTTTTTAAACAGCTCATTTACCACACACTAAAACACATTAAAGTTATTGCCACAATAAGCCTGGGTGTTTTCTTTTAATCACTTGAGTTGCTTTTTGGAAGCAAAAAAATATGCAAAATATGAATTTTGCATAAAAAGTTCCCTTTAAGCTAGCATGAAGATGATTCCTTCAGTAACAGCGGCTGAGGCGCGTCGCGGGCTCTCCACAGCAGGTGCAAACAGACGAACTAGTGTTCACAGTGACTCAGCGTTTATTCCCTCACTGAGGCGCCACTGTCTCCTCTCATATCGCCCAGGACTCCAAGGCTTCCATCAAACACAGCCCTCAATCATCAGCAGCCAAATCACTTTTACTTTTGCGAGGGCGGGAGGTCACACGCTCCGACAACTCCAAACCGAACACGGGCCGTGTCACAATTCAAACCGCCTTCATCGTTCAAAGCACAGACTCCAACTCTTAGGACTTCCACCCCGTCTGCTGAGTTCAGCGTTTATTTTTAAAGTTTTTGGAATTATTTTATGAATGCTGATATGTCTGCAGGCAATTTTCCTCCCAAATCTCTTTTCCTTTAACTATTTCTAACTGAAATAACCCATTTCACCTGGCTTTCTTAAAACTACACTACAGCTGCTGCTTGAATCAGCTTTCAAAGTTTTACTTTTTGAACTTCTTGCAAAGTATTTTTGTTTAGTTTCTAGTGCAAATATCTGTGAAATGCTCTGTTGATATAGCACTTTAGCATTAGCTCCAAAGAAATACTCTGCTGGTGTAGCGCTTTATTGTTAGCTCCTAAGAAATACATTGTTTGTGCAGCTGTTTAGCATTAGTTTCTGCAAAAAATTCTGTTGGTGTAGCGCTTTAGCTTTAGCTTCTGCTAAATATCCTGTTGGTGTAGTGCTGTAGAATTGGCTTTTGCAAAATACCTTGTTGATGTAGCAATTCAGCATTAGCTTCTGAGTTATACCCTGTTAGTGTAGCACTTTAGCATTAGTTTTCGCTAAATATCTTGCTGGTGTAGCACCTTAGCTTTAGCAGATCTAATGTTTATGATTAGTGCTTTAAGGTTATCGCAACTATCTTTTAAGTTACCAGTGTCCACCATTTGATCTTCTAAATTAACATTGATTAGGCATTAATTACATCATAAACATAATTTACCTTTTTTTGCTGCGTAATGGAAATGTGTGATTGATGCTTAATTGGATGAAATGGTGTAGACATATTTTGAGACTGGTTTGATGTTTGCCAGCCAGTGGTACTGGTTGGTTTTGAAAGATAAAGTGATTTAAAGCAGCTAATTTCTGCAGCACAGCTGAGATGACGTACCAACACAGTTGTCACAGATGCTGCAGTGAGATGCTCGCGGAGGCCGGAAGATCTTGCAGGTGTAGCAATACTTGAGCTTGACGATCTGGTTGTTGATCTGAACGTTTCGGATCCGAGGCGGAGGTCGCTGCCCCGACGGGACGTTCCCATTCGCTGCCTCTGTGAATTAAAACAAAAACAAGATGTCAACACACTGACAGATTATAGTGACTTTGTTTTTTGTCGGTTCTGGAGTTGTTGCTCAAGGTCCAATGTGTTGCTTTGGAAATTTTTAAGGATACTTCATGTTGCCAGACTGGCTCTATTTAAGCAATTTATGTTTTCAACAACCTGGCAATTATCAAGCTTTGGTGAAATTGAACTTCAAAACAGTAACCAATAGCAATTATTTCAGGATTTGCCAAAGGAGGAAGAGATATTTTCACAGTGGAGTTTCTGTGATAATAAAGTAAATTGTTACTTGAAAACTGCATTAACTGTTTACTTTAACATGTCTGATATTGAAGTTTACTTGATGTGAAACATTCAAGTTTGACCAAAAAGCAAAACCAGAAAAAAACTAACCAAACAAATCTACTGAGGAGGATTAGGACCACTAAAAAATAAAACAAAAAAAACTTCTGAATTCTGAAATTTTTTCTCAAAATTCTGATATTTTTTTCTCAAAATTGTGACTCTTTTGTAAAATTATGATATGGTTTATTGAAATTCTAATCAATTTTAGAATTGTAACTTTGTTTTCAAGATTGTGAAATTTTTTCTTAGAATTGTGACAATTTCTCAAAATTTTTCCTTTTTTTCCTCAGAACTGACATTTCTTGGGATTTCGACATTTTGCTGGAAATTAGAAAAAATTGGGACATAGTTTCTCAAAATACTGACTTTAATTTTAAAATTACTACTTCTTTTTTCAGAATTCAAACTTTTTTCTCAAAATTTAGAATTTTTTTCTCAGATTTGTGACAATTCTTAGAATTCTGACTTTTTTTCTCGAAGTCAGGATATTTTCTTCTCAGAATTGACATTTCTTCTTAGATTTATGTCTGCAGTTTTAGAACTCAGACATTTCTTCTGCGAATTATGGCTCCTTGTGAGATCAAAAGTCAGAATCCTAAAGAATGAAACACAATTCTGAGAAAAAACATCAGAATTTTAAAATTAGAGTCAAAGTTATGAGAAAAGATGTACTTTTTTTTCAGTTGCCCCAATTCTCTTCCATAGAAATTTTATGTTTGATTGACAGTTTATTATCTCTGATTATGCTTCGCTGCAGACTAATGATCACAAAGCTGCAAACTCAGATTCCTCAAGAGAGAAACCGCTGTGGAGAATCGACCATTAAGTTGCTGCAATGACCAGACAGGAATTGACTCTTAATGGGAAAGAGCAAGCATGCCCACATTAATTTCTGGAGATGCATTAAGATAAAAGAATAAAAGTGACTATAATTTAAACTAATAGTGTATTACTATTTGTTTACAGCCTTCAGTGGAGGATATCTGCCATGAAAAGTGGCTTTTGCACAAATAAGTCAGACTCATTATGAGGCATTAACATGGTGAACAGATTTTTTCTGACAGTAAGCGATAACCGATATTAATCATCCAAATAAAGCTGGAGAAGGGCCTTCGAGAGAAACTGGGAATAAATTTGAGAGAGGGATATATGCCACTCCCAATGGAGGCCTGGCTCAATCTGCTGGAGGCGTCACAGAGCCGAAACAGTTTCCTAGAATTAGAGACCCTCCTCAGGAGCGCCACCAACAGGATGAGGACAGAAACATCCTGACTGCAGCAGCAACATCAAAATTTCTGCCTGGTTATGAAAATGGCTTTTTAAATCAAAATCAAAATACAAATAGCTAAATTAAGATAAGCTAAGATAGGATGCACTAGAAAATAGACATTGCAAAAACGTCAAATCTTATTTTTGGACTAGTTTCTAGTACAAATATGTTAGGATAAAAACTAACTTATAAGTAACTTCTCAGTAAGATACAAGACCTCATTTTAAGTAAATAATTCCTCAATATTGACAAAACCTACTAGTTCCTTAGGCAAATTATCTCACTTATACATGAGAAAAATGTTTTATTATAAGAGAAGTAATCTGCCAGAGGAACTCGACCTTTTTCATTAATAATAAGGATTATTGACTCAAACCAAGATCCTAAATCTTGCTGAAAAACTACTATTAAGTTAGTTTTGTCTGAGTTCATCTGTAGTAAGATATTTAAAGCAGAAACTAGAGCAAAATTACTTGGTAAGATTTTTTTTGCAGAGTAACAAATAGATGGTAAGTCAGGCTTTTAAAGATTTGTAATCGGCCAGAGAACTGCAATCGATGCACTCCCAATTATTATTTAGGTGTGATCAATATCCATTAGAAGATTACATACTACGTTAGTGTTAACATGGAAGCCAAATAATACTTTGGAGAGTTAAATGTGTAATTTTGCTGCAGATGACATAGAAACTGAATTCTAGTAATCAGCAAAAAATATGTAAATCTATATGTTTGAATAAAATACAATCATATCACAAGAATTGTGAAATATCCTTTCAATAATAGATTAAAAAATGTGTCAGTTTTTGGAGAAAGTGCAAAAACATTTTTTATTTTTTCACGTTGACCTGCAACACAAGAGGAAAAAGATTTGTAGTTTTCTATTTAATAAAACGTAATGAAATTAAACCAATACAGTGGTGTAATAATAACCAAATGTCTGCCATCTCTCTTGGTTTAAAACAAATAAAGAGCCAAGATTCACAGCAGAAAAAAGAAAGTTATTAAAAAAGCCCCGAAATCCAGAATTAATAATTTAGTGAGCAACTGCTCCAGGTGTAGCTTGAACTGGGATTTCAGGTCAGTGTGAGGATTCCTGTAAAATCCTTCATGTAACAAACTGCAGCTGGTCCATTAGGGTCATCAGGGCCGCAGCAGAACTGTCATCCTACATGCAGAGTGAGTCACGGTCATAATGAGATCTTCAGAGGGCCGCGTGCCTCCGCTCGCTCTTTACACCGAGTCCCTCAACTCCACCGCTTCAGCGTCCAGAGTTTCCCCATTTCAATTAGGGCTGGACAATAACAGATGCATTCTGGGAGATGTAGGCAACATTTCATTTCCCTGTGGAAGCAATAAAGTTGAATTTGAATGTGAGTCAACTCACTCACTCCTCGGTTACCTAGCAACTCACTCGCTCACTCTTTGGTTACCTAGCAACTCACTCGCTCACTCTTTGGTTACCTAGCAACGACCTGTTACTGACGCAGCAGCAGTTTAAAGTTTCAGCGCTGTGCCTCATAACTGTTTAAAAATTAAAAACTGGAAGGCTTACACCACCAGTTCAGCTGTATTTCAGATGTTTAACCAAAAAACAAATCAACTTTGGAACTGAGCTCAAAGCTTTTTTCTGATTAAAAAGGTTTTTTTTGTTGACTTTGATGTTGTAATTAGACAGAAATTCTCGTAACCTGGATCTAATATAACTCGCATGAGGGACGGTTGAAGTAAAAGTCACTTTTAAAAAAAATAAAAAGTATGTTAAAAAGAAAACAAGCCAAAAAAAAAACTTAAATTTGATCAGAGAAAAAAAGGGATTTTATTTTTAAAACATATTGTAGTAATTAACATAAGAAGTATGAATAAACAAAAAGACGCGGTTCTCCCTGTTTGATGCCAAATAAACCAACCTGAAACATTTATTCCTCATAAATACTTCTAGCCTGAACCACTACAGTTTTTCCCACATCTCTGCTTGTTATTTTTGTCCAGAAAGCTCCCAGGTAAAGATGAGCAAAAACATGCTGATGTCACTTCTGTAGCTGCCCTTAAATGCCTGATCATAAAGGTTTGGCACCATGAGGACAGGCTGAGAGCAAACTCCAGGGATTTTCAAGACACAAGTTATGTAAAATTGCTTTCATGAAGACGTTATAATTTGCAAATTAACACTGTGAGTCTATGTTAAAGTGTTTGAGTCAGAAATCACAGAGAAAGTTTCTTTGTTTACACATTTTTACTGAAAATTTGTAGCTTTTTTCTTACATTTTAACAAGTTTCTGCACACTTGTCCTTTTAAAGTTAATAATTAGCAGACTTGTATCTCTGGTCACACATGCAGCTGTAACATTACTAATCAGCTGGTCGTGTTTGTTTTGACATTCTTTCTTCTTATCTTGTGGCAAACTGGAACCACAGATCATGAGCAAATATATAAACATATATATAAACATTACCAACCTGCGAAAAGGTTGGACACCTTCTCACTAATTCAGTAGGAAGTGTTGTCCAAAAGTTTGACTGGTAGTGTTTACATACATATAAAACTCTGGAAAATAGCAAGAGACTATTTAAAATGATTTGATTTTACACTGTATAAGTTTAAGAAAAATGAATATTGTTCTTTTATTCAATTAACTACTGACAGCATGTTACTCTTGCTGGCAAACCTTCTGAGTTTTTTTGGTTGAAGTGAATGACTTGTTTTTTTCTACAATGGCCCTGATACACCCCATTAGATTTTGCATGTTTGAAAGAAAGGTTTCCAGTCAATTGAATACATTTATTTTCAGGAATAAGAACTGGATTTGGGTCACTTTGTTTCAAAACGCTTGCTATATGTAGCGGAGTTTAGCAAGGTTGGCTTCTCAATATAAAGTACTTTTGTATTTGTTGGTTCTTGGAAAATAGCGTACGATGTTTCCAACTCTCCACATTTTTGTTTTTTAAGTAATTAAAACTTTTCTGAATTTGAAATTTCACCAGCTAAGAGATGGAAACAGATCTGGTTGCTTATTAGGCAACTAGTGGAGATTATTCACATTTGTTTATGAGGAAACACAAGTTGACCAACACTTAAACAGTTTAGGATATTTCTATGGGCCATTCAAAACATGTTCATCCATTTTTTAAAGAAAATCATTCTTAGATAATGACATTTTGACTATTTTGAGTTGTTTTAGGTCCTCTTGTGACTTTAAATCCAAATAAGCTGCTGCTGGCCACACCCAACGTCCCACCGCTGAGTCATCGTTTACACTCACACGTGAAAATGGCTTCAAACAATTTTACAACTGCATATCTATGAAAAGCAGAAGTGGAACTTCCTACACAACCAACAAGAAAGCAGCAAGTGGTTTCTGGATTGTAAGTCAACAACAAAACACTTTTCTTTTCTAGCAGCCATTGTACAGCCCAATGACGAAATGTGATGGAGCTCAGCTGGAGTAGCAAGGTGATGGAGTTGGGGTTGTTGATTTTGACTTAATAATAATGAGGTTTTTTTTAAACTGGCCAAAAACAGCTGGGTATTTTTTAAAGCGCCTGGGTTCCTTTTAGAAGCAGTAAAGACACAAATGGAAATATATAAACCTGCAAACTGTAAAATTTGCATAATAGATCCTCCTACACAGTTAGAAAATGCATTGGTTCAGATGACTATTTTTTACATTGTGTCTCTCTGAGAATGAAGACGAATGCATCTACTGACCGATTTCCAGTTCTATGAAGTTGGCCTCCTCTGGAAGGGCCCGCGGCAGGACCCCGGGGTCGCTGAAGCTCGTCCTCAGCAGCATGGCCATGACGAACAGGAAGAGCAGCACGGCAAAAACCGGGATGGCAGGAGACAGGTGGACGGCCAGGTACGGACACCTGCACAGAAAAGGAGCAAGACAAAAAGTCTGGTTAGAAGTAATACAATATGTGCATTTATCAACTCTGAGTTTGAGGATTTTAAACTTTTACCTGGTAAATCAACATCTAGGAAACACAAGATTATGTAGTATAAAAATTGGAAAGATTCACTTTTAATAAAAATAAAATCACAGTAAATAATCATGACTTAACTTGTCCACAATTATATGAGCCCCTTGAATAATTGGAGGGTTTTTCAAATGACTCATTTAATAGACACCAAATAATAAACAGTCAGGTTTTTTTTAAAGTGCTGGGCTGTTTTTAGAAGCAGATTATTTCTAAATATTCTGAATCCATACATCATTTCCCATTTTACTACAAAAACAAGGCGTTACTTTGTGTTGGTCTAAAGTAAAGAAACCCAAAAAAGATCTTGAATTTCCTTTTGTAACAATAATAGTTTTCCTTTACAGCTTAGTTTCATTCCTTTTGACTCTTTGTTTGTGTGATTCAGTTTGTTTTTAAAGTGTTTGCTAGTTGTTATTAGTTAAATATTGTTTAGTTTTAGTTTAGTTTCTATTATAGTCGTCGTTTTAGTTTGTTCTTACTTTGGTTAATTTTTAGAAGCAGAATTAAATAAAGCATTTTATTGTGGTTTTCGATTGGGTCACGAATATTTAACTGAGAGCTAAACTTTGATGATTTCTCCAACTTTTGCTGCCAACATTTTAAGGACTATTGTTCAGTGTCATCAAGGAGAGAGTGGTGCCATAAACTGTCAATAACTGATGCAAACTGCATGTGTGGAAAAAAATTTAGCAATTTAAACACGAAAACAAGCGATAATATATCCATAATTTCAGTAGGTTTCAGTTTTCTAAATAAGTTATAGTTTTTCTCCATTAATAAATATTATCCCAGTTTTATTTAACTATAAAACTGTGGTTGTAATTAGAGATGCACTGATCTGATGTTAATATCTTTATTGGCCTGAATATTGAAAAAAATTCTATATCGAGTATTGATAACAATGTGCCTGATTCAAGAAGGCAGAACTATTCAATCCAATTTTATACTCATGGTTTATTGATTTTACATTACATTTACATTTCTAATTGCACTTTCTGAACCATTTGATTTGTAGCAGTTTATTTTTTATATTTTTGACAGAGGCATTCAACCTATTGTTTATCTCAGCTCCTTTATTGTTATTTATTTCTCATTGGCTCTTATGCTCCTAACTGCACTGATTGAACAAATTAAAGCTGTTTTGCTGCTGAAGCTATTGATGTATTTAAGTGTGCTGTACTGGTGCAGAGTTAAGAAAATAAGTTTGTAATTCAGTAAATTTGTCTTTGTGCTTTAAAAACCACAAAGTCCCCAGTTGCAACGTGACTAAATGTGAAAACGTTTAGGTACAAACACAGCGAACACTATCCTCTCAGCGAGGTCGCACCAGAACAGAAACACTCTGATCTGCTGCGTTAAGCATGAGGTCATGACCTTTTAACCGGACCTCACAGCTGTGTATGAACAGGCCGCAGCCCTCTTCCCTGCCGGAGAACATGGTTGGTATCAGCATAGCTCTGGTAGTCGGTCCAAGAGGGCCGAGAGCCAGCAGGACTCCTCTGAACCCGCCTGCTGCTTGGTGACAGATGGCAGCTGCAGAGCAAAGTGCTGCAGCAGAGCAGCAGCATCTACAAAGCTCCTGAATGCTGATATCAATACGTTAACTGCTCCATCTCTGTATATTCATAATGCAAAGCTAATGATGCTCCACAGAACGGAGACGCTTCAAGAAAAATGTTTTTACAGCATCTCACGTATCTGCCTGCACGCAGAATCATCATTAATAAATTTACATATTCATTGTTAAGGTCAGAGAAATTAAGTTATGTTGGGTTGCATCTTTTCTGACTTTCCAATTCAACAATTGTACCACTAATCAGCTCATTGAGTACATTCAGGACTGTCGTAACAAATAACAGGTATGAGCAGCAGAATACACAAACGAAAAAAATAGACGTAAATCTGTAATTTCAGGCGACAATAATAATAATAATAATAATAAATATTTATTATTATTATTATAAATCCTGGAGGGACCGTCTGTCTCCATTTCCACAACAAACTTAGCTAACAGGAAACAGCTTAGTCAGCAAAACACCACAAAACACCACAAAGACCAGAGTCCATGTGATTAGCTGCAACCGCAGAGACGTCAGCATACTGGAGACACGGCCAGCTCCCAGCTCCACCAGTCTGAGCCTCTGCAGCATTTCCCCACCACTAATGGGAAGCAGCAGCAGATTCGGATCGATGGAAACTTCCACTGTGTGAGCAGGACGACCAAGCGGGTGATTCCTGTAATAATGACCGTCACGCTCCATCATCACTTCCCATCAGCCCCTCCTCCGCTGAGCGCGGCCGCCGCCTTCAGCTGCTGAGGAGCCGGAGCGTTAATCAGCAGAGATCCAGAAATACTGGATTTAGATTCCCACAAGATGAAAGGTTTCCTCATTAACATTAACTAGCTTAAAACTTGAAATGTATTTTTTTTATGCTTTACGTTTCAGTTTTTCTTGAGTCATTTTGTAATGAAGTATCTCTACTCTTAGGTGAATAAAACTGATGGATTTATTACCCACTGGAAGAAAAACAAACATGTTTCATTGATAAATTTTCTTATTTTTTGTTACTAATATGAATTATTGTAATTTTGTCCTGAAGAAAAACAACATTTCCATTTAACTTTATATTTCGGTCCATCTGATTATGTAATTTTTAAAGATTAAATGATTGATAATATGATCAGTTTCTCAGCACTTGAATTTTTACCAGATACTTTTTACTTTCACTTGAGCAAAAATATGCTGAAGTATATTTTTGGGAAGCTCTATCGTTCTATCTCAAACCAACTAACATGTAAAATTGTCTCATTTTACTCGCCTTAACTGTTTAAAACGTGTTGGACTTTTGTTGGCAGGCTTTGAATGAGCTGTTGGAAGAATTTCATAATCTGCATCAGAACCAGGTGAGCTGGTTCTTCCCGTTTCCACTCATTGTGCCAAATACAACAAACCTGCTGCGTGAAGCTCCAACACAAAACATATTGCATCACAGGTTTTATTTATGCAGAGAGTGGGACGTTTAGCAAATAGTAAACACAAACAGTTAGTTTTTATTTGCACATACATATTTCTACCTTTTGCACAAAGACCTTCGCAAACCGTCCTCGCCTCCTGGAAGCTGAACAAACACTTTCTTATAGCTGTTATTTTTAAACCTTGTCAGGCGTTTTCAGAGCGATATGAAGATTTATTTTTAAACAGTCACCATAAAACACTCAGGAAATGTGGCAAAGAGTTACAGAGAGTATCTTTGGTCTGGATTAATCTGACGCCGCTTTTCTTTTCTTTTTCTTTCACCTGTCGGACTTTTGAACCATGAAAATATAATAAATAGGAAAAAACAGGTTTTCATGGCTCAGCCTTTGCAGCCAAAAAACTTGATCAGTGATTTTACTGCAGGTTTAAAACATGAAATATCTGTGAAACACTTGGACTCAAAACGTTCATTAGCTGCACAGATGTGTGTCCGATAGCATTAGCAGACCTGCAGACATGATCCAGTTCGTCTGCAAAAATCCATCCATCCATTAAAATATTTACAAATAAAATATGAGTCTAAACAAAAACAAGTCAGCAGTCTCTGAAATTATTTGACTCAAGTTAACCAGCATTTCAACACAAATATTGACACATTTTGACTCAAACTGTTTAATAATCTTTCGGTTTTCATTTGCAGTCAACAAATTACACTGAATTTTTTTGTTGGTTTAGATGAGAGCTGCTATATTAGTAATCGACTATATTAGTAATCGATTGATAATTAATTGCCACATTCTGCAGATTTTTTATTTATACACCTAAATTTATTTTATACAATATTACAAATACATTAAATTACTAATAAATAATTAAATTTCTTCCAAAAATGAGAAAATAAGAATTGTATTTGGTTAAAATGAACGCTTGATCATTTGTAACAAAGGATGAATCTGCAGCTAAAGAATAAATTGTTTGTTTTTTTTATTAATCGAATAATAATCAGATAATCATTCAATTAAAAGAAAATAGGATTTTTTGTTTTTGTTTTTACAGAAGTTTAAACGGGTAAAGCTAAAAATGCAACATGAGGAGTTCTGGGTAAAACATATTTACAGACAAAGAAAATTATTTTCATCTTAATGCAAAATGTATTTGTATTTCTGTACAGTTATGGCTTAATTACTAATAATGTTCTTTAGAAGCACGATATAAATGTTTTTCAAGATGATTATTTGTGTTTGTAGGGTTGTAACTGCTGTGACACAATTACCTAAAAAACATTTAAGAAATATTGTAACTTTTATCATCATGACAAAAGTACAGTCAGAAATCGTTATAAAACTTTAAATTAATATCTCCCACCTTTAATCTGTATGTCATTTATTGAAAGTTGTTAATTTTCTAACCAGCAAACACATTTGTTTGTTTTTTAATAAGGAATATATTACAACTTAAAAGCATTATTTTGGAGAAAGGTTTAATAAAATTGTTTTACTCTATTATAAGCTTAATTTCCTCAGAATCAGTGCAGAAATATTGAAGACCTGACATTAGGCTTGTGGTTGTCTAACAATGGAGAACCTTCAGGTTTTAAAAGCAGCACATAAAATAATTACGCCCCATTATAAACCCGATCCAGATAAGCTACTTTGATATGCGAGTGTGCATAAGGTGTGGATGTGTTTCTAGGCGTGTCTGCTGCAGACCTTCATCATGACGCTTCAGCTGTTAAATTCAGGCTGACATGAACCTCCAGATGAAAAACTGGATTAAAATCCCTTCAAACGTCTCAGGAAGAACATTGCTGCAGTCAAAACCATGTCACTCTTAACATTTTCTTATTAATACTTAACAACTGTGAGCTGTTGTAAATTAATCCACAACTAAGTTTCTGGGACGCTGCAA